ATTAGACTTATTCTTACTTAGATAGAATCCATGTGAGACACCTAAGCTGTAGGTCAAAAGACCAACGTGAACGTCAGAGCCTGGCGTGCTGATAAGTATGTTAATAATGGTTGTGGCCACTTGCTGGGCGTACTCCCTCCACGATGGTATGACGGAACAAGAGACGTCAAGGACCACAACGAGATCCATACATACTAAAATAACAATATTTTATAAAGGTCTCATTAAAGGGGATCTTTCTTGATGGTCATGGCTGCAACAATTAGAAATAAATGCAAATGTTTTACATGTATTTTGACATCCGAGTAAAGGTACAGGGAGGTTAAAAACAGAAACCCTGCTGCTATTTTCCTAATTTCTTCTTCATTTTAGAGGTTTACTCCCTAATATTTGGCACATCCATCATTCAATTTCCAAACAGCCTACCATATTTCATGACCATCAGACTGATGTATAGTCATAACGTTACAGCACTTTAAACAACATGCTCCAGTGGCCACTATTGCACATAAGGCAAACCTGCATACATCGTCCAAAGCTCCCTACCTCAATTCTACTTGTGGGGATACGCCAAAGATAGAGTGCCTGAGAATGACACCAGGACGATTGCAAACCTCACTAGGGAGATCATCGGTGTCCTTTAGGCCATACCTGCTGAGGAATACAGTCGGGTCAGAGACAACTTGAGCAGGTTTGCCTACACCGCAATGATTGCCACACAAAACCCGACGCATGTTGTTCAACGCGCTGTAACATCGTGACTATCAGTCTGATGAACGTGAAATATACTAGGCTTGTAGTAAATTGAATGATATACATATGTGTCAAATATCAGGGAGTAAATTATTACAATGACAAAGATATGAGAAAATACAGGGTTTCCGTCTTTAACCACCCTGTATATTCTACGATGTGAAAAGTAACATACGCGGTAATCGATCCACGTCTATTGGTGGACTTGGAGGCGGTCCTGGTTGCTTGGGTGGTTTTGTTGGCTTGGGAGTTGTAGTTTTCGTCGTTGTCGGTGGCTTTGTTGGTGGCTCCGTCGGTGGTTTTGTTGGTGGCTCTGTCGGTGGTTTTGTTGGCGGCTCTGTCTGTGGTTTTGTCGGTGGTTTTATTGATGGCTTTGTCGGTGGTTTTGTTGGTGGTTTTGTGGGCGGCTTTGTTGGTGGCTTTGTCGGTGGTTTTGTTGGAGCCGGTGTAGTGGTGGTTGTCGTTGTGGTAGTGGTCGGGGGTGGAGGAGGTTGTGTTGGTGGAGTGGTCGGATCGGGACCAGCACCACCACCAATTAATCCCGATTCACCCGATTTCAACCCGTATTTCCATATATAAGATTTGTCAGGCCTCAGGACGATCCCTATATCACTAAGGTTCTTGTTTAATAAGACGCCTGCCTTAGTTTTAGGCGGTGGTCGTTCAACAGCGTCATTTGTTTCGCTATTAGTGACCATGAAGGAATGACATGCCCAGACAGAAAATACCAAATAGACCGACGACAATTTCTGGCTGGCCATGTTAGGGTACATCTAGAGGATCGTGTAACCTTGAATAAAGCATTTTAATGATTATTCTATTAAGTTATGTCAAAGATGGCGCTGATATGGACCAATAGAAAATTGAGAAATTATTGTCCCAAAATGAATAAAATTTTATCAATTCGCATTACTTTCGCCATTGCATGGAATTTGGTCAAAATCCAATCAACCTATCAAATGACCTACCTCTATAACAGATTTTTCATAGCTAACATTAAGGAACAAGTAAAAGTGCGAAAAAGTATCTAACTATGAAACTAATGCAAAACAGTTATATATCCAAAAATTGAATAAAAATTGTTATGGCCAAAGGTACTATGTTTTCCTACGTCGAAAAAGAAAAATCAGTTAAACCACGATATTCCACTTTTTACTTGTTTGAGCCACGTATATTATATTCATATTGGTCCAAAAACAAAGCTGACAAGACATTGGTCAAGGAGATGAGTAATTATTATTATTATTTAATGTCATAATCGAGATCAAAACTTAGTATGAACAAAGTATTTCATATTAATTATGAAAAGTAACATTAATCGTAAATTATAAATCATATTGAGAAATCTTTCAGCTATTTCAACATCAAGTCAGTACATATAGATGGTTATATATATCAAAAACTAAATAAGTATAATAAAATAATTCTCACCGTTCGACAAATGTCCCTATCCCTAGCGTCCCATGTATCGTACGAGTCGGTCTTGTAATGGACTGGGAAAGTGTTTATTGACATTTACATACCAATTTATGTTCACAAATAACTGTATAATTGCCATCACAAAAGTAATATTCCATACTTAATGGGACAGATAGAATTGTAAATTTCTAAGTAATATTTATAAAATGGAAAAAATCCAGTTGGTAGTTTAAGAGTGCAAATAAACAAAATGATGCAATAAACAGATAGTAAAGAAATAACCCGAAAGAATACTATTTCTAATTTATAGAATTTTAATTGAAGAAAATCAAGAGCAATAACCCAGATGCGAGTAAAAATAATCTTGATTTACGTCATTAAAAATTCAAAATTCAGTCAAAGTAATATCATATTTGAAATCTACATGTAAAATTACATCTGGAAATGTGGTTTTAAAAAGTGTTTATTGACTTTGAAAAATTAATTTTCTTTGAAAATGTGACTTCTAGCTCGGGGAGATTCCCCATAGACCCCATGCTATAAAATCACAAAAAATGAAATATCTTTTCTTTTAGTGGACAGATAATATTTTGCTTTACTGGATATATTTTCATTAGTATTGAGCCACTTAAATTGATAATATTCAAGTTTAAGGGAACTTTCTTATATACCTGCCATGTTAATTGACCCGAATCAGCCACCTGGTGGTGAAACTGGTAACTACCTACTCGCATTTGGGTAATTGACAGCTGGAAAGTATGACTTAAATAAGATTCACATCCTCATGCGAGGACATTTCTTAAAGGGACAAAACAAGTTAGAGACAAGTTGATCCGCCGATGATGATCATGGAAACAGTTTTAGAACATGCCTACATGATTGTGTGAAAGATAATCCGAACATTACTTCTCAAGTTATTGCAAATAATGCAAGTTATGCTAACAACTATTATAGACGCAGACGTCACCATCAAACTTCAACGGAGGCCATATTAATTACTACAGCTTATGTGAACAAAGTTACGATAATTGATATTTACCAATATTGTCAAATTCTGTATTTCTACCAAAGCCTGCGCCATGTGTGTTAATATCAACGGCATTCATTGTGTGCTATTTTAATGTTAACACAACTGCGTTTTACACTGCAAATATTGCTTATTATAGTTCTTGAAAACAACTTTAACGAAAAAAATTTAGACAAAAAATCAAAGTTTGATAATACAAACTGTGACAACATAACAAATAATGTATCATGTGCTCCAATAATTTCCAACTTGTTGATAATAAAAATAAATATAAAGTTGTATGTAACCAGCTCTCAAAAGGAATTTGCTTGATAGTTCATTCTCATAAGTTAAGTGAAGAACACGTTTTATTATGTCCATATGATTTGTATCCTCCAACTACGTAAAATGCTCAACACATTCAATTTACTTTGAAGAATTTATATACAATCATTTAAAGACTACATTGGATTACTTTCATTTTCCAAAATAATCATTTCAAATCGTACTGGTGCATAGGCAACCCCTATATTGGAAAACATCAATTATCGTAAATTTGCCGAATATATTGTTGATGCTGACATAATCTTTCTGAAACTGTCCCACCATTCTGACTTTTTTAATGAAATTAATAATTAAGTATTTAAAAAAGAATATTGATAAAGCGGAAGTCATCCCTTTGAATAGTAAATAGACAATTTTGCTTCTTTTATCTCCACATTTGATTGGAAATCTCAAATTGTTTTTCGTTTTTTGGATCGGGATATAACAAAATGATAACATGCGTTTAGATTAGAAATATATTTTTTTCTGCCACTTTAATGATATTATGAATTTTAGGTGCTCAAAAGTAAACATTGTATTTAAATGAGAAAGTAATAACGAAAGAAAATTACATCTTCCAAGGTGGTAAAAACACAATTAAGTCGGAGCAACTGAAACCGTGCGAATCAAGATGGTGAAATTATACTTTTACAAAACCACGAGAAGTGATTGTTATGCTTATGCAAAAGCTGTTATACCTTAATTTCTCTCTGTAAAACTGTCAATGTTCAGGCTAGGCGATTGGGCGCCGTAACCACGAGGTTGCGAGTTCGAGACGCGGTGTGCTCCGTGCGTTTATTCATTAATGACTAATTAATTGTAATGATATTGATATTGACATTGAAGAAATGGTGAATTAATCTTGTTGATTCCTCTCGCTATATTATTTTTTACCCTATAATACTAAATTTACTGAGCCTATATCATTTTGCTTATGGGTTTATGATTATAATTGTCCATGATAATCGTTCCGCAGTTTTTAATTGAGTGCATTTAGTGCATGGACCTGTGAACTCAAACTTTAAGTCCCCAATTAATTGAGCAAACTACGGTCAAGTGAATGACGCTGTAGTATTCGTCTCAGGGTATTATTATACCGTAACAAAGGGAAAAGTGACATAAATAAAATAGATAGAATAAAAAAATAATAACTTTAGATAACAATATAAAAGTCTGCTAGTTACGAATTTAACAGGATTTAATTTTGACAAAATCTAAATGAAAAATCTTTACTAAGATCAAATGAATCATTAAATGGATTTTGAAGAGGTAATTTTTAAGATGACCTTTGGCCTAAAAATGACATCTGGAGATCACTGTAATTTTCGACTTTGACCTCCTTACAAGGCATGCATTATTGCGTAAACTATTTGCACGAAATTAGTTAATCGTTTTTATTTTATTCTAAATACATAGTTCTATGTGATATCACAATAATCATAATCTGCATTCTCGCGTGTTAACAACCATTCCGTGGAATTATCATTTTATTACACCTTTATCTACCTAACTACAGACTAGTGCATTCAGAAAAAGGTATATTTAGAAATAATACAAACATCATAATAAAACAAAGAAATAAAACATATATTAAAAACACAGTCGTCCTTCGTATTAAGTCGGCGTTCATCCTCCGTACGCATTTAAAGGGAAAAAGGCATCTATATAGAATTTATACGTTTTCGATGGTGTACATTTTAATTAAAATCGAAATTTATTCAATGTACGTGGGTGGACTGGTTGGTTAGATAAGGTAAATAAAATGAAGACACCAGAGCCTAAAAGGTTTCCATAAGGTGTATTATTTTGTATTCTTCCAAATAAATTTTTATTGCATTTGTTTATGGCATACAATGATTGTAAGACCTGAGAATGAGCTAAAAATAAAGTGAACTCAAAGAGATCTGAGATTAATGTCAGATATCCTTCAAATGTTGAGAAAGTACAAAATGCTAATATGAATGATGTCATTAGTCTTAGAACTTTAATGCGAGTAATCATGCTAAAACAATACATTTAATCGCTTTTTAATTAGATCCTTATTACATTGTGTAAAGTTAATGGCGTGTGATAATTCTACGATGGTCAGATAAATGAGCCAAGTATCCTCGTCAATGAAATAATATATAAATATATTAAAACCGTAGTTAAGTAAAGCAAGATAGAGCGATAGAGAGGGTGAGATAAGGAGGGACCGAAAGAAGGGGAAGGGGAGGAAGGGGAGGAGGGGTTGGAAAAAGGGGAGAGAGAGCACTAGAATAAAAGCATTATCCCCCTCTCCTACATACTTGGGTCAGTCAAAAAGTTCTGTTTATTTATCTCTAACTTTATTATTTTGAGGATATTTGGTACATTTATAGAACATATATTTGTACAAGTGTATACTAGACAAAATAAGACACAGTAGAAGGGAAATCGAACGTAATCTCTTATCTTATAGCTTCTGATTTCAATGATCTCATGTTTTAGGGTAATACAGGCAGAGAATCCAACAATTCATATGGCTAACATAGCAAAAATGATGAATTAAAAATATGAACTTATTGTTGATACAACAAAACATCAATACAACTGCTACATTTATTGTACTATTCTGAGTTGAGTAAATTAATAATTTAACAAGACTACTTTGGTATTTCATCTGTTAAAGGCTCGGATGAAACTATGGAATTAACGATAGAAGAATGTTTTTATCACTTGGACTCGCTCTACATTATCGCAAAAATATGCACGCATACAAGGATATCGTACGCATTAAAGCCCCCATGTAAAGTTTGAACCACTTTTACCTATACTTTAGAATTACGAAATATTATCAAAAATGCGATGATTTTCTATTTCCAAAAGCTATTTTTGAAAACCTTTTTAGAATAAAACGTTGCACACATCTATTATTTAACATTAGATGATTTTAATTACACGATTAAAACTATTTCCAAACTTTGCACGGGGCCTTTAAACCACGTGGATATATTTGTTAATCCATCCATGGTAGCCTAATATGAATAAAATGAGCCTTTAATAAGCATTCAATTCGAGAGTAAAAGTCAATATAAAGTCATTTAATATTAACAATGGCAATACATTGTCTAATGGCGCGTTGAACCTCCATAGAAAGTATGTTGCTATATTAATTAGTATCTTACATGTATGTTGTTATTGTATTTTCAAGATCAACTCTAGTCTTGCAACAAATTATTTTTAGCTTGAATTAACATTTCAAAACATTCCTGTCTCTTTTAGAAAAGGCAGTTTGCTAAATACACAGTTGAAATGTTGTGACAATCCGAGTGCTCTTTTTGTTTAGAAAATGCAAGCATAAATGCCAAAAGATGAAAGCCACAAACACAGAACATATGCAATAAAGAAATATCTATAAGAATACGACCAATTATAAGGAAAACAAACCGAAATATCCCAAACTATGACCTGAAGTAGAATGATACTATGTCTAATAACCTCCCATTTCTTTACTATTCCGGAACTACTATCATGATGTAAAAGCACAAGAAATCATATCGATACCATAATACAACGAAATTAGAGATGCTATTGTTTTGGATCTTTAACGTCCAAGATTGCATAAGTTTGGAAATATTTTGCAGTTTGAATGAATCATCTTTGCGTTTGGAACTCCCTTTGGGTTACCACGTAGAATCATATGTTGCTCATATTCGTATTCTGTAGTAGAAGTATATGTTTCTGTCGTCACATACGATTCTGTCGAACCAATTTCTGAAGTATTAATCATGAGGAATTGCACAGTTGTCTTGTTCGTGGCGTCAGCCCCTAAAGAAAATGATAATTACAGTATTATTACTTTCAGGAATATGCTATACATATAGTTATTACAGTGAGTCTTATTTTAACAATTGATAATTTCCTATACTTAATATGAATTTTAAGATTTTCCAGTCTCAATCGGTAGGTGCAATATAATACATTTAATCAAGAATACAAAAGTTAAGTAAGGTGTGATAAGGTGTGCAATATAATATAAGTATCCCATTTGCTCTTTTGAAAACTGTTTTTACACAAGAAAATTCGAACATAATTTCAAAAATTACTCCTAGCTTAATGAGAGCATTCGATATTTTTGGTCACATTTTATGATATGATTTAAGAGCTCAGTGATTTTAGTGCTCTGATTCTTATCAACTACTTGAATATCAAGTATTATGTCGATAAAGTTATCAAGAACTGAGTGATTACATCACCTCATAACTGACTGGTGATCCGCTCGATTACCGTTTCGGTAACAAAATGTCGGAACGTCGAAGGTACGATTTTTCTTTTTTCCTTATTTCACGCGTCGTAGCCAGAATCCTCACAAACGTGTATCAGTATCATATGTTTTAGAAAATGTACATGTTTGCGAAAAAATAGCTCAGAAGACAACAGAATCGTCGATTTAATTCCTCACTTAAGTTATATAAACGGTAAGGGTTAAAAGTGCAGTTCTTAACTGTTTTTCGAAATACCGTTTATGCAACTTAAGTGAACTATTTGTTCGCAAATGTGTACATTTTCTTAAACGACGTTCGACGTTTGACATTCCGACATTTTTTACCGAAACGGTTCCAGCGTAATCGAGTGGATCACCAGTGATAAATCTATGACGCAGTGTGTATAGTCTTAATAAAATTAAATATTGTAGAATGTTCTATTAATGGCATTCTCTTATCAAATATTTTGATAGGATCTTCTTGGCCAATACAGCGATTTCCACCAATATTTTAATAAAATGTTTTTTAAATGTTTATGAAATGTATTCTTAATCACGCGACACTGAAATATCGACAAGTAATTTTTTTATCAAATTCAATCGGAACCTCTCTATAGTATTATTCAATATATTTGAAAATACCTTTCATTATCACACACAATGTAGCACTAACAGCTGATATTGCAATTATAGTTACAAAAAATATAATCACAATAATCAGTCTGTATCTTTTCAGCAAGTTCCCTGCTTTTATCTTTCGATCGTTCTGCAAAGTACCAGCGGTGGCATATGTGTAGATATGTGGCTCCTCCGTTTGCTGTTCATTTTCAACATCTCGTATAATTGCATAACGACTATTCACGGCCTTTAGATAGCCACCATCGTCATAAAGTTCATAGTTTTTACCAAACCCCTTCTTTAATAAGCCATTATTTTCAGGGTCATTATTGTTAATTCTGTCTTGGTCTCTATCAATTTTCATTCTAACAAATCTCAAAATAACCTTCTCCCTTGTTAATTGTTAAGGCTATGGCAATTTAGGTTATTCGCTTACGACTGCACGAATTGAGCACCATGCAATGAGTAGCTGTAACACATCACATGCAATATATTACATATTACAAGCTTGTATATTTGGGTCAGCGTATGAAATATTTGAGATACCGTTAATCAAAAATAAACTAATATACTTCTTATTCAATGTTATACATGTACAAGTTGCAAAATAACACACATAATCATGTCATGTGATATCATACGATAACGATGTCATAATGAGTCATCTTTCAAAACATGACAAATTGTTGTTAGATCTGACAATAAGTCCAAGAAAAATAATACCTTTGTAAATGCATAATTCTAAATAACTATTGTTAAATTAGGTACATTTACCTTATCAAAACAAACCATTCAGCAGGAGAGCAAGACGTCCTCAAGAATCCACCTTTCGATAGTGTAATTTGGACAGGCACATTATTCACTGTACATTTAGTGGAATCGTGGGGTAATATGCTATCACATGGGCAAAACATCTTAAATTCACATCACCATTCAAATAAATTGAACAAAAGGGCAAACACCTTATTTCTTTATTTCGAGTTATGGATTTGTGTTGCCCTACCGGCCTATTTAGTCGATGTGTCATTTTCTGAACCTTTGAATTTGTAAACACACGATGTTTTATTGTGGAATCACTCTCATAAGGGTTTTATGAAGTGATTTAGCTGAGTTGGACAAATGGCAACCTTGGGGAAAAAATTATATATGCAAATGGAGGTGTCCATTATCTAAAAGCAATTTTTTGAAAGCTCTTGACTCAATTAACCATTATATTTTGTTTAATAATAAACTTAAAAACTTTGAAATCAACTGTGGAATAGTGGTAACATGGTTTAATAGCTAAGATAGTAAGAACACCAACACAGTGTCTCATTCAACCATACTTCATTATTAACTCATGGTGTGATTCAGGGATCTGTTTCATGTTATATTATTTTTCTATACATTAAACACCTGCATAAATCAAGTAATTTATTGATTTATTTGTCACTATTGGTGATCTAATTTCATCATAAAAACATTGATATCTCTAAACATACATACCATAAAATATGTACACTATCTGATTAGTTATTTTTGTATAATTTAACATTATCTGATTCATTGATGCTAAAACATGGGTCCCAGGGCTATCATTTTTCCTTTCTATGATATGTTAGAAATTCAATAATTGGCAACCCAATTAAACTACTAAGGATTTAAAGAAACCACCAATTAGTCGTGTTTGTACTGCAAGCTTGCTTATTAAAATATTTTGAATAAATGCGAAATACCAAAAATAAATATGCCTATTTGCATATATGCACAATATCTAATAAGTTATCATTGTATCTTTTAAAATTACCGTATATCTGACTGACCCTGAAAACATTTTGGCTAATTTGCATATAATGTAGTACATTTAAATATAACAAATTATTCTTGTATCTTTTTACATTATCTTATTCATTGAGCCTGAAAACATGGGTACGTAAGGGCACAACGATTGTGATGCTATCATTATTGCTTTTTAAATTATGTAAGATATTTCAATAATGGCTGCCCTTATTTGCATATATAATTTTCCCCGAAATTAGTTATTTTTGGCAACCAAATTAAGTCAATAAAAAACCTTGATTAAGTCAATTAGTCAGTTATATTCATTGAACAAAAGCTTACAAGCTTGATATCTAAATAAATACGTTATTTCAATCATAAAATATACTAAGTTGCAATTATGCACTCTATCTAATAAATTATTCTTGTATATTTCAACAATATCTTATTCAGTCACCCTCAAAACACGAGTTTGGACAAACTAAGTATGCTGCTATCATTTCTTCATTTTCAAGATATAGAAAACAATCAATATTTCAATAATGACCTAGCTAATAAGCCTATATTATTTTTTCCCCAAACTAACTTTTTGTCTAACCCAGCTAAATCTCTTCAGGAAACCCTTATTGTCATAAATTAACCAAAAAACATCGTGTTTTTAACAATTCATAGGTTCCCTATAGGATGCATAGGAGTGACAAATGTACAATATCTAAGCTACATTTTTACACTAGAATCACTCCCCAAAATCACTGAACCATGAAACAACTAATTAGGCAATTTTAGCCTATTTAGGCAAAATTTGACTGAATTTATTAATCGTTTTGTGTTTTTCTTCCATTGAACAACTTCCTTAATTGAAAACTGATGACAGATTTGACCAGTTTGCCTGGTCTAAATAATTTGGACTATTAAGCTGTTTTTAGTTCGAATTTAATCATTTAGTGAATCAGTGTGGACAAATGCATCAATAATTGACACATTACTGGTCAATATCACACGGAATAGCCTGACAACGGTAAAATCAGATACCGTTGTCACAAATGGCGGACATAACCGTCGCTTCAACTGACCCTTACCTCATTCAGATCGTTTAAATTAAAGACTTTATATCGATGGTAGAACATTATTAACTGTACAATTAATATTAAGACATTTTGATTGACTGTTGTTCCAAAGGAATTTAGTCTAGGTGCTCTATTAAACATACAGTTCATGAAAATCTAGTTGAAGCGACGGTTATGCCCGCCATTTGTGACAACAGTATCTGACTTTACCGTTGTCAGGCTATTCCGGTGTGAATATGATAACCCTTAAATGTACCTTCCTTCTTTACGCTAATACATAAGATGGAAAATCGAATATTATTTTATGAACAGCTTTAATTTGTTTTGCCTTTCTTGCTGACTTGAATTACCTTGACGAGAGCAACATCATCTTTCAGCGCTGTAAACAGTACTGCACATTGCTGTTCGAGCACTGCACTGTACAGCAATGTACAATGCTATTCTAACATCACCTATATTGAACAGTGTAGAACAGTACTGTTTTTACAGTGCTGTACAGCACTATTTTAGAAAACAGCGTTGTACACTGCTGTCTTTACAACGCTGTCTAGCACTTTTACATAAACAGCGCTGTATGGTGCTGTTTGAGGCAGTGTAAACATAACTATGTAGAAGTATGAGTTGTTAAAGTGACTATGGACATTTTCTCTCAAAATTAAATTATCTGATCAATCAATGAGTAAATACATAAATATACAGCAAGACCTAAATTTGTGTTTGTTGAATAAGATTAACGATTTTAGGATCAAATCCACTTCTTATGCGCCTAAAACAAAAGAGAAGATATGATATAGGTAATATTGTTGTTAAGTTGTTCTCAAGTGATTTCGTTTTGTTTATGTTACACGCCTAACCATCGACAAGGTACAGTCACGTGACAGTGACAAAATATGCCGTAGTACACTTTTGATGTACTATGTCATCTACTTCAAATGATCCTCAGCAACTTCAATATCTTGTTATAGATCTACCCAGTAAGTCAGGGATCTCTAAATCTTGACTGAATTTCGCAAAATTCTCTCTAATTTTTGTTTTGCTATGCAAATAACAGCCAAATTACGACTAACACAACTTAAGATAAGTATACAAATATACATACAGAGTTAATGCAAAACCGCTTTTTACTTTGGATGCTTCTACGAAAAATAGATAATGTATGTTGTCACATTGGCCTTACAGATCTCAATTCACAGTTAATTTTACAGTGAATTATGAAATGCTATAATGTATGTGTAATAGAAGGAACATATTTGATAATAAAGTAATAATTTATAATAATAGGGCTGGCATATCGAAAAATTTACTCTAATATTTTGTCCGTTAATCCATAAAATTGTCATTGATATGATTAAATTTCAATGTTACTAATAATTTTTTAGTATTCCATAACCCTGGCTTTTGAACTTCTACACTTTCCCCCCTAGGCAGACATATACCAATTTCTCCATAGTATGTATCATATATCATATTTAAGCTTATCCAAAGTTATATTGATTTGCCAAATATGATGGTTCAAATGGTAAAAAGTAACAGGCATTTCAAAAATTAGCGTTTTGCCAAAAAGTTCATTTCAGTATCCTGGAAACAGCCCTGACCTGAATGTGACAGAAAATATGGATGCTATTCTCGAAGATAATATATGGATATCGAGTTCTAAAAAGATGACGTTTAGGGTAGATACTCCAAGGAAACTCTCCTTATGCCTTAAAAAGGTTTTATGAGGATTACAAAACGCCATCTCCCTATTTGAAGCCAGTTTAAGGTCATATATGGAAAGTATTGCTGCTGTTAACACGGCGGCTAAGGAGACACACCGACTATTGTTTTGGTGTAAAACTGACTTTAATTTTGTCAAAACACTAACTTTTTCCATTTGTGAGTTGAACCATGATACTCGGCAAATTAATGTAACTTTGGATGAGCTTTAAAATGATATACGACACATACATGGAGACATTGGTATATGTCTGCCTAGGGGGCCCATAATTTCGGGACACCCTGTAGCATAAAGTCATCTTGGATTAGCTAGTAAAGATCTCTCCATGAACTCCTTAAGATTATTAAAATTCATAAAAGTGCAACTAAACATAACGTAACGTACCGACGTCGAGTGGTCAAAGAGGTCGGAAGAAAACACGCCATGGTCACATATTAATCACCATATTAATACTTTCATAAAATAAAATAGCATTCAACGAAAAAATCACATTTACCTGTTTATCTGTACTAGGGATACAGGAGCACGTTGAACATCACTTGTAACGCATAAAACCCTTAATGCATTTTGAAATTAAATCATTGCAATGTTTAATATTATAACTCATGTATTTCAATTACAGGGACAACATACACTGTGAGCTGACAACGTACATTTCTGATTTTTTAAATTATATCAAATGCATGAATGTTTATTTAATGTTCACCTGTCCTAAACTGTATAGTTTAGAGAAACACATTCTCATAAAAATATTCGACTCTCTGAGACGTCAGGGGAGAAAATTATCAAAGGAAATGTGTAAAAAACAACATTCTTCCAACCGAAGAATCGTATGGGTAGACTATCAACGAAAAAAATCGAGCACTGCTCGAAGATCTTTTAACGTTATTAGAAAAATAAATGTCTTTGAAATCGAATGCACGCAAAATCAAACATAAAATCCTTTGTGTACTCCTAAAATTTATTTTTGAAAACCTGCATCAAACCTACATCATAGTCTTCGCTCAAAATCCAGTTAATAGTGACATAGTACATCAAAAGTGTACTACGGCATATTTTGTCACTGTCACGTGACTGTACCTTGTCGATGGTTAGGCGTGATGTTATCTCGATCTTGAACTTTTGAATGCACGTGTACCTTACATTTCATGTCGGAAATTGGTGACAGGAAGGAACCCCCAGACTCTCCACATTTCGTTTGTCCCACATCATTTAAGACTGAATGGTCTATCTTGTATAAAAACTACATATGAGCCAGGACACAGGAAAGGGGGTATTTTCACAGTTTTTTTTCAATATTTCGATTTTTTGTTTATCTTAAAAAGCACAAATAGAGAACTTTCATGAGCCATGGCCATGTCTTAACAATTTTTCATTGCAGTAAGATCAAAAATACATTTAACAGACATTGTGTCTTTGTATCAGTATGACCTGCCTCCGGTAACAGATACATGTAGTCGCAAGATATTTTGTGTTATACATTTAAACCCATTCCATAATCGTATACATCCAGTTAGCGCATAATCTCTAGTATAAAACATGTTATTAGTAACTATCTTGTATCATGACAAAGCTGTGAATTTACAGTTTTCTTTCCTCACTTTTGTAAACATACCTCTCTGAAGATACAAAGACACATACTGGATTTCAAAGGAAGTTACCAAGACACCATGAATGGTACATGTACAGTCAAAACAACATAACAGATCGTGAACCTTCATAAACTATCAATTTATTAGCAAAGGTCACAATCTAGGTCAAATCTATGTTTTTCCTTATTTTCTTATCCTGACAGTACACTTAAGGTGCTATGGAAGTTAACAGGAAATGACGAAACAGGAAGTGACAATTTTTTTTGCATTTTAAGACATTTTTTGAGCAAAGATAAAAGAGTTCTGGTTTGACCTCCAGTCAATTTAACTATTTCCACATATCATTTACATGACCAGGATCACAATGTGCATGGTCAGAATGACCCTAAACATGATGAAATAACCTTTTTAGCCCTTTGAAAGTGTGACTGAAAAAAGCTAAAGTAGGAAGGCAGGGAAGGTCACTGAACAGAATCTTTTGAATTTTCCAGAAAATGTGCCCAATATAATGCTCTAACTGATACAATCTTTGAAATTTTAGAAAATTGTCTGAAACAAAAATGGCGGTCATAAAAAGGAAAATAGATCGCTTGTCAAATCAGTTTTTTCATTTTTTTTCTTTTTCTATGAATGATATCAAATTTTCAAAGATTGTGTCATTTAGAGCAATATATTGGGAACATTTTCTGAAAAATTCGAAAGATTCTGTTCAGTGACCTTTCCTACCTCCGTCTTTTAGCTATTTTTCAGTCACATTTTCAGAGGGCTGAAAAGGTTAATTCTTCATGTTTAGGGTCATTCTGGTCATGAACATTGTGATCCTGGACCTGTAAATGGTATTTGGAACTAGTTGAATTGACTGGAGGTCAAAACAGAACTCTGTTATCTTTGATCTAATATTGAGATATCCTAGTCCAGAAAGTGGGTCAAAAAGAAGTTCTCGAAACAAATCAATTTTGGTATCATGTTATTGGGGAAATTTTCTCAGGACTCCGATTCTGCGATCAGAGCTAAAATCTAAATTCCGGTTCAGATTCTATGACATTGCTTATATGATATGATGGTATCCCAATAATATATAAAATTGAATTATTGATGGCTTACAACACACATATGCTAAGGTGAAATCTAGGTCGAATCTTTTTCCTTTTTGAAATCCTGACACTAACATTTTAACAGTTTTATTTGAATTTAACATATACAAGAATATGCTAACAGTGTTAATCTTTTGTCGTCAAAAGGCATTTTGTCCCAATTTTGAGTTATCAGTTTCCTAAAGTAGGTAAAAAATTATCTAACTACTAATACGGGCAAACACTTTAGAAACCACGTAAAATGCGTTTAATTTACATAAAGAAAATTTTTCAACCATGTTCCGATAGAGATATTATTGAGATTTCGCAACTCACTTATAGCATGTATATCCTTCTAGTATAACGTATAACGTATGACGCGTTTGATTACGTCATTATTTATTGTGCAGCTCTATGCGTCCATAAATGTGAAATTCTCATAAAGCGTCGTCTATACGTAAGAATATCCCACTATCGATGTTTAGAGCTTCGCAATAAATGATGACGTAAGCAAACGCTTCATAAGTTATGCGTTACACGGGAATGATAAACATGCTATAAGTTCAGTAACATTTTTATATTTAGTCTTTGTATCTTTTAATATTTCAAAAGATTGTATATATGTAGACATGTAATTTTACAGAGGGACACCTATAACGCCACTTGGCAATTTAGTATATGACCTGTACTTACATGTATATGACAAACAATAAAATCTATTTATGAAAATTAGAGTTGTATTTATTGTGACAAAACAAAAATGATTAAAACGTACGCATTGATGTGTTTAGGCAAAGTCACAAAGTTTTGGTAATATGTAAGGAACAAATTTGCACAAAAAGTCATTAGTCTTTGTATAATTTGTAACGTGTCGTTCGTTAGTCTGTGGCATCACGGTATTGGTAGGCCTGCTGTCATCTGTAACACCATCTTGGAGGATTGTGGAATTGTATATTACCTCAGCATCGTCAAAGTCATCATTGTTCTTCAACTGTATTCCTGCATGCAATGATAAAAATCAGTTTAAATTAGTTCAATAAAAAGTTAAATAGATTAACAATCGCAATGAGATATCGTAGAATGGCAGAAATCATGAAGCGGTTCAGGTCTTTTGCAGGCTCGTCACAATTTGAATATTATAAACAAACCAGGAATGTTCTATTTAAAACTCATAATACAGTAGTTCCATTCAATAGCAAAGAGAGTCGTAAGTCATTTTTCTAGTTATTATTGCGCATTTATATTTATGCTAATGTTTAATTGTTTTTTGATATTAATATGCATGTCTGTCCAACTTATACCTTTTAGCTCTTCACGATTATGAACAACTACTACTATCGCAGTACCAGCGACGACACCAATAGCACCAAGTACAAGCACTGCCTTCCAAATTCTTTTTATACTAAAAACGTGGTTATCCTGTCCTGTCTCACCTCCTGATTCTTGAGATTCAATGTCCATAAAATAGTTTTTCTCCGTCTGTAAATCATTGGTTGCAGTAGCATTTTGTATTTGGGTTTTGTTGATGGTTTGTTTTGACATTTTTATCGATTCGCCATTCAAACTTCGATTTGACTCGTTCGCTCGTTGACTCGTTTCGATTGAATATTTAAATTAAGGGGACTACTTTACTGTTGAAAAATATCCCACTCTTTATTTCGGCCGTTAAAATGAAACTGAAACCATTTTGGTTTCAAATGAAACTGAAATCAAACTTGGAGAAATGACTATCTTTGAAATGTTGACATTTTTGCTTCTAAACCTATTTTAGTAAGGTAAATGTCATTGTCAGCAACATATTTTCTTAAATATATGCATTGGTAGTACATGCATGTAATGTATACATGCATATGTTAAGTGTGCAGTGTGTACATAATGGTTACCCAGTCCGGCACAATTTTGGTAAAACATGGGGAAACAGTCTACACATGAACGTCTGTGTATTTGGAGTACTCGTATTGTGCCTTGTAAGTTCATCATTGCTTTTTATTATAACCCTACATTCTGTTACAAAGTCTTTTGTGGAGTTGTTCTGTGTCGAATTTTTCGCGGGCGTGTCTGTACATTTTCTTTTGCCCATTCTAAGAAATGCTACTTCAGTGTCATCGACGTCATTAACTGAATTAAGCACTTGTAGTTGGCTTCCATGATCTATAAATGAAAAACAACAGAAACCTCACCAGAAGCCCATTTCTTACTCCATTATTATCTTACTAAAGTGTCATTATATCAGTTGTTTAAAGAATTGAATAAAATAGTAATGCAGTTTATTTGAGGTTCAATTTATTTTTAATGACTTATTTTTAGATGACTTTCCAATGTCATGGTATTTGTTTTTTTTTAAATATATTCATTTATTCCTTTTTATTATAAAATTACCTTTTGGTAGTTGAGTGAAAACAATACCCGCTACAAGACCCACTATGCACACCAAAAGGGTGACCATAATTTTCAGTTTGTAGTGTTGTTTGCTGAATATACTGCATTTGGTATATCGTCGTGCATTTGCTTCTGTGTCGATGTTATCTCGATTGAAAGCACCAGTCTGTGATAGTAAATGATCCGAATCATGATTCGTTACTCGATATGCACCAACAGTCTCTTCATTTGCATCATTTTGTACATCATGATTGACACATTTGCACGTGTTATTGGTTTCCCAAGCTTTTTCATTTGACATGGTAAGATCGGCGTATTCTGAAAACTTGCATACAATATTATCCAATGGTACACAATTGTATGTGCAGATCTTATTTCAATTTTAATGGGTTTGGGATACAATGATAACTATAATATACAAGTTGTTCATTATACCAAAATGGTTTCGATATCATATGAAACAGAAATAGAAAGCAAAACCTCTCTAGCTCTGAACATTTTTCTTAAGAAAATATGCAATGATATTGACGTAGCCTCTTAGATAAAGGTTTATTATTAACTTCAATATTTCACAAAATGTTGTTTGTACCCGAAATGTTTACATGACGCGACGAGCGATATTCTATTTTCTAAAATCATCATTCTTTATATTGATTATTATCATAATATATTTAGTATGCTTTGTTGAATTTATAATGAAGCCTATACATCCTGTAAATGACGGAGAGTGTTCGATTAAGTAATTTCCTACCAAATTGACCATCATTTATTGCTTTAAAGCCCCCATATAAACCACTTTGTTGGCTTATATTGTAGTTTTACCCAATGTATCAAAAAGTGTTTTATTAAGGATTTTTTGTTAGAAAAATCGTGAATTTATTTAAAACTTACTTTTACAGGACACACGTATCTTTTAATAAGTGATAATTCATACCAATGCATAGCATTCATCCTCACATGTTTTTGGCGAAAAAATAATATAATGAAAAATGAAGCCATCAATGCATGAAAATGATTCAGAGAGAAATGCATTTCAAAATTTTAGTTCTCATAGATGGTATAATAATATCTAAAACATAATATAGTCTTCCTTTTAACCTGGCTAGACAATCAACATTGGTTTATTTTTGAAGTTTAGCATATTTAGAAAAGATTGACATAAAAGTTTTTGCAATCTATATATTTTTAATGTGCTAAAACATTGAACTTGCAAACTAGATATGGCATTTTATTATTGAAATAGTGTGTCCTTTGTTCAGTCTTTGCATTGGTGTTAAAAAGATAATCTTTTTTAAAATGTATGGTGAAATATGATGATTAAAAAATGTCAACTTTTTAAAAAAAAATAGCGGGAAATTTGAATATTTGATCAGAAATGAAAAGCTGACAACTTTATTTTTGTTTTCAAAAATCTCTAAAATAACTTTTAAAGCCACGACAAATAGTAAATTTATATTTGATGGATTTATACATATTTTAACATACTAGTATAGACTTAAAAGGGCGTGAAGCCTTTTTACTAAACTCAGACTTTCCACACAATAAATTTCAAAATATGTGCGTTATAAAATATTTAATTCGAAATGCTGCGAGGTTTAATCCCGTGAGACTACACACGGGCGACGGCTTATGATTATGCTCCGGCTACTACAATAAATTAAATCCACTTATTTCAAAGGAAAGTAACAAGAAGACGGTGTCTTCCCATTTCGCCCCTTCCCATTTTGCCCCTTCCCATTTCGCCCCTCATTTATTCCCATTCGGCCCCTTACAATTTCGCCCCTACCCATTTCGCCCCTTCCCATTTTGCCCATTTCCCAAATTGCCCCTTTCCCATTTCGCCCCTCTTCCATTTTGGCCCCGTCCCATTTTGCCTCCTTCCCATTTCGCCCCTCATTTCCCCTTTGCCCCTTCCCATTTCGCCCCTTCCCAATTGGCCCCTTCCCATTTCGCTCCTCATTTATTCCCATTTCGCCCCTTCCCAATTGGCCCCTTTCCCATTTCGCCCCTCGTTCATTCCCGTTTCGCCCCTCATTTATTAAAAAGTAAAATACCTAGATACTGACCTTTGACCTTGGAATGACCTTGACCTTAGTTCACTTAATCATGGGTCACAGAGGTTCACAACAGCCCTAACGACCTTAAATCAGGCAAAGGGGCAAAATGGCAAAGGGGCAAAATGGCAAAGGGGCAAAATGGGAAAGGGGCGAAATGGGAAAGGGGCCAATTGGGAAGGGGCAAAATGGGAAGGGGCGAAATGGGAATAAATTAGGGGCGAAATGGGAAGGGGCGAGATGGGGAGGGGCAAAATGGGAAGGGGTGAAATGGAGAAGGGGCGACATGGGAAGGGGCAAAATGGGAAGGGGCGATAAGGGAAAGGGGCGATATGGGAAGGGGGCAACACGGGAAAGGGGTGAAATGGCAAAGGGGCAAAATGGGAAAGGGGCGAAATGAGAAAGGGGCCAATTGGGAAGGAGCGAAATGGGAATAAATGAGGGGCGAAATGGGAAGGGGCGAAATGGGAAGAAAACAATTCAAGATTTATGAGATATGCTTCTCAGGACGGTATCTGTAAATAATGTGTTATGTTGCCCTCTTTATATCTGATTTGTAAATTGTTCCTACAATAATGCAGTTTATGAAGATGTGCTCACTTTATAAGCAACCTATAAGCAAAGACTATGAAATGTTCCAAATCGCAGTTCATAGCAATATACTCAATTGTATCGTGCTGCCACCTTTATAATTATTGGAACTACTACTGGATTTATAAATCATATCATGGTCAATCAAAAATTACTATTTTGGGGGATTAAGGGAACTAAGGGATCGAATGACGAATAGATGGGATTTCAAAAGCAAGAATATAGTCCAGTTTTTGTAATTTCACCAGCATCATCAGTCCATGAGTGAAACAGTGTATGTATGGATCAACCCTAACACATGATTTCATATGGTTAAGGTGCATTTCTTGACATTTTCGACGTCCCACATCTGTCAAAATCGGAATGACAATTTTTGTCAATTTGTATAGATGGCGTATTCAACAGGTGAGATCTTTTCATATCATGGGTAGTTTTGATTCAAACTTTTTGCACTGACAGAGGACACACTTGGGTATGATGGCATGATAGCAAAACATGGCCACAAATTTTGATTTTCTCTAAAAAAACAGATCCTTTGTATGGGAAAACACATGGTATAGCATTTCGTTGTGTTACCCCTATTTCCACCAATTCTGGTCATATTTCTCAACTTTTTCCACGCTTTTTTGGAGTTTTCACTAATGTAGCTCTCTCAACAAAGTTTGATGTCACAATGGTCCATGCTATTTCCAAAAAGTGTCGAATAAGCATTTCTCGCAAAAAACGACCCCATGCTATTCGATGCAAAAATTAATTGATTATTTCTTTAAATTACAAAAAATATTCAAATCAAAATATGGTTTCCACACATAGCTCATTCAGCTCTGTGATATCCTCTCTGCTCAAACTAGACACCTCCAAACACATCAAGTCAAAGGTTCCAATTGAAGTCATGATCCCAGGAAAACACATTATTGCAGAAAGGGTTTGGGTCATTTTAATCATTCATATATCTTGAAGAAAGTCTAATCCGCCTGCGGTTTATATTGTTCAAAATAGTAATAGATATCTGAATCTGAATCTGAGCTTAAAGTATGGGTCGCTATAAGAAATCAATGAGCCATGGTCTTTGCTGCCACCCATCGTTTTTCAATGGCACTGCACAAACTTTCGTTCAGTGTGTTCAAATAAAAACCATTGCAGTATACTCAAACAATGTCACAGGTACATGTATGTACAATGTACATGTGTTATTTCTCAAACATGTAGGTACCATTGTCTCATCAGGAGAGTAAAACTCCGAAATAACGTTACGGTTTCATTGCCCTTGGGATAAAAATACAACTCAAAATATATTATTTATACATTTTGCAAAAGTGCTAAAGGGAAAATAGTAAAAATGAAATAATCATTCATAGTGCAGACCGTTACACTGAAGAAGATTAAAATTCACAGTCACATAGCTAGGCAAAGTGTGTCCGATTCCAACCAATCCGAACACAGTATTTCACATCAGTATTTCACAGCAGTGCATGAAATTACCAATAACGCATTCGTTGTATGGTTGTCGTCATTGTTAGAACTAATCTCATTGATTGGAATTAATGCTTTGCAAATTGACCCTAGCAAAACATTTCATTGGAAATATGTTTTTTAGTGATTCCATATCTTTTATAGCTTCATGGAAGAAAATATTTTGCAATGTGTGAAAATAATTTAAGGCCAAGACTCATTACATTGTGGAATGACGTTGTTTCCTAAAATTAACTCTCGATGCAAAGCATCTCGTGCAAAGGAGTGGTATCGATATGGAGAACGTTTTGAACAAACGTTTCTCTTAAACCAGTCATAAAAAATCTAAAGATTTAACACATTGTCAATTTAATGGTCCTCTTTTGCATGGTACAATATAATTTGAAAAATATATATATACTTTCATCTATATTGTTTAAGAAAACACATCAAACACTTGTTCTGTTCTTGGTATCATGTATCCAGAGTGAAATGAAACATCTTTCCGAAACTCATTGGAACAAAACGACATAAACTCAACGTGTTTGGGTCTCTCAATATTGTAATTGTACAAAGGAAATTTTGCTTGATTTTAAAAAAGTATCTTGCTAATGAAATAACAGGTTTATCTTGATTTTTATCTTTTTCGGGTGATTTTGTTTTAATTTTTTGAATGCTTTTTTAAAATCAACCAAAAATTCCTTTGTATAACTATAATATTGGGAGGTATAAAAACATATTGTATATGCTTTTTTGTTCCAACAAGGTTCGGAAAGACATTTTATTTCATTCTAAAGAATTGGTAGAAAGGAGCAAAAACAATTGCACTAAAAAAACAAAAATGTTAACAAAAGCAGTTATCGCTTACATAAAATATTTCTAAATATTTTTCGCATTAAATTGTTGTCAATCAGTCAACATTACATAAAATACCATGTTTTTTTTACAGAATGTTTTCAGTGATTGGTTTAAGAGAAAAACATTGTTGAATCCAGTTCTCCATATCGATACCACTCCCTTTGGACACGAACTCGATTATCAAAGTTGTAGAGGATACATCTTCTTTCACCACACGATATCATTCGAAACCAGCGATTGGGTTCAAAGTTTTGGTGCCTTCTTGCCCATTCAAGGCGCCTTTCTTGGTCATGATCAGTCTGCCTAGGTCTATTCAAAAGTCTCATGGCCTTTCATCCGTTATAATAAAGTCGCCGGTTGACTTTGGCTCTAGGACACGGATTCTGAGACGAGGCAGCCATTCATCTCCTATACAACTGTTTGATTTTCATGACGTATACAGGGTGTCCAGAAGGTATGCCCCACCTAGGCTGACATACACCAATGTCTCCAAACACAAAATTTTGAAATGCCTTTAACTTTTTCCTATTTTTGAGTTGAACCATGTTTCTTGGCACAATGTAACTTTGGATGAACTTTAAAATGATATATGACACATATTATGAAGACATTGGTATGTGTCATAAGGGGGATACTTTCGGGACTCCCTGTATGCAACAGGTGGTGTTCTTTTCTTGCATTTGTCTTTCTTGAGCTACCTTTGCTGGGGCCTAGAGTCACAATCCAATGCCTTTGGTACTACTGTAGTATTTAAGGGACTGTTCCTGACACACCTTTAGGGTCCTGGCAATGGCAGTTTGTTTCATGCCAGACAGCGCCATCCCTATGACCTGTCATGCTCTTTTGTATTTATCCTAATTGCTCAACCATAATGTGAAAAAGGATCTACCTTGAAGGTGTGGGAAGCGCAAAAATTGTAAAACCAATGCAAATATCATGAAACCTAACACCTTTGGCCATGTCAGGTGGCAAAACTTGAAACCTCAAAACCAATGATTTTTGTTTTTAATATATTGTAAAACTCAATCTAAAAAGTATTTGCCTCTGTTGAAAATAAGAATAATTTTGGCATGCCTTACTGTATTCATATGCTGGGTTCAGACCCAATAGGCTGGGTTCAGTAAACATTCAAATATGAATAATTCAATTTGATATCAATCTTGAAAAAATTGAAGTCATCTCTTTTATTATGCAACTTACAACAAACGATATTGTCGTATTCAACATTAATTATAAGGTCAAGATAAGGCGCATTCTTAGATGCATTATATCTTATTTAACTCAGCTGGGTATATTTCACTTCAAAAATATGTTTCTAGACTTAACAAGGTTATCAATATAACTATCTGTCTTATCATTTTGCAAAATTTAAAGAGGGGCACAATCTGCCCTCATTGGTATTCAAACATTTTTACATTAAACTGTCCTTCAACACGTTGCATAAATATTTGAGTTTGAGCTAGTATATAAAATCAAAACGGCAACGTTTACGTATAAATTGCCCATATACAAATACATTTAGCTTCCTCACTTAAATAGCCGTTTGTGCTTCAGTGTTTGTTTAGCACGCTGCAGTATGTGTTATGTTACGCAGTAAACACGATACAAATACATATCATATTCCGCGACGAATATGGCATATTCACTTGCGGTGTATGACAGATTCACCTGCGGTCTAGGCATACTCACTAACCAGTGAGAACTCGATGCTGAAGTACGCAATTGTCAATTACATCGATGGAACGAACGGGCAAAGTTTTATAAATTATCATAATGATTACTGAATCAACAGGTCAGTGCATTGAATATATCAACTAAAACAATTGAATAACATACACAAGTGGTACCTGATTGCTTGACTTTTATAACCAAATCAACAGTTGACAAAGACCAGATCAAAACCTAAAAATCACGAGTATTTATATATTGTTGTACTAACAACCACGATATAAACATTTCTGATACTTTCAGAAGTATCATTCAGCAATAAACGTTCTTAATCAGCCAAGGATTCATATATTAGTACTTGAAGTGCTAACAATATTGGTAATCCAGCGTAGTTGAAGATTTAGAATCGATTCTCTTGACCAATCAAATCGAAGCTTTCTGTATCGCGTTTTCACCTGCGGTATATGGCATATTCCGCAGGTGAATATGCCATACTCCACGGGAGAGTATGACAAATTCCGCAGTGAGTATCGGTATTCACTGAGATGAATGTATCGCATATTCACTGCGAAATATGCCATACTCACCTGCGGAATATGCCATATACCGCAGGTGAGTATGGCATATGCACTCGTTTGACAAATACCGCACAACCATGAATATATGCCATATTCATACAACATGTTATGCAGCACTTAATACGCCATTGGTAGTATTCTTTAGCTAGTTTTCTGATACATATATATCAATTAAGCTCGTTTAGTAAGATAGTCGGAGCTAAAACATGCATGACATACATCATAGATACGAGAATGATGGTTCTCGTTGAGACCAACGTGAAATGTGGAATTTCTAAACACGAAACTCTGAAGCTAAATGGGTATACGGTATCTGAAGTAGACTTATTAGCGCTTGTTTTGTATTTTATATTGCTATATTGATTCACGTACTTTCCGTTCACGGTTGCGTTGTGAAAAACATTATTGGCTTAAACTCTCCACTATCTTATTAAAAAACCAAAAACGTCTTAAGGTTGTAAATTTGCATTAAATTACACTACAAAATAGAGGTATATACTGTAGATATATTTAACTTTAATTGGGTCATTTAATTTGGAAAAGGCCTCTACAAAAGGGTGGGCCAAAAAAGTCCACATTTTTGTTTTTACTACAACGTTGTTGATATTACAGACAAATATAGAAACCATATATCATTGGAAAGACAATTCCATTTTTCATTCCACATAAATGAGTACTTTGTCTTAAATTTCATTTCGATAAGCACAAGGGTCAAAATCGTGAATACTGAATACAGAATGCTAAGAACTGACCAGACAGATATCACCCCTAGATGGGCAATAATGGTGTTGTACTTATATAACTACTCTTAAATATATATTGCCTGAGGATTTGAACAAGAAACTATTGCAACGAAATGAAATCATCTTATGTTTTTATTTGAATTTTATCATATATAATATACTGGTGACGTTAACATTATCATAAGTTTTTTAACAGTCAATTAACAATGTCATAAAAGCCTTAAAGGCATGATACCCAAATGTAGCATGCACAATATTTGGTATCTTAAACTCCTCGAACACGAGGAGAATTATTAGTTTTACCAAGAGTTGAAAGTCACACCTTGTACAAGTAACAAGATATACAATATCACACATTTCAACAGAATCGATATATAGTTTTTATACAAAATTCATTATACTTTATTTACATCCAATTATGTTTTCATATGATTTACATATGATTCACAAGATAATATTGTCTCTGTACATAAAATGTTAATAAATCAGATAACATGGCTCGTAAAACATACAGGTTGGTAAAAATATGGCATATAGTAGATACTACTACTATAGTAGATGATACGTTATGCAGTGAAAATCATCAATTCACATAATTCATACAGAGGATATACAATACCTTGTAAATACATTTAAACAATTTCTGTGACATAACATGATGATTTATTGTAAATACAAATGAGTTCAATCGAAAACATGCCATATATCACGTAAAGTCCCTTTTAACATGGCATACTCTGGTTTTCAGTCATCGATATCTAATGTCATTATCAAAATCTGAATGGGACAACTTTGTTTAGGAAGAACTCGATATAGTCCAAGGATTGTATGATAAAATGCACTTGGTAACGTTGGTCACAATTGTATGTCAGATTAAGATATATGTTTTGGTAAAATGTGCCAAATAAACAGATAAATGTGCTGAATGAAATATATTTAAAATTAAATTTACTTAAATGAAAGTTGAAATGTGTCAATAAAGGATTCACTAATACAATGCCACTAGAAATATATCGAGCAACGGGTGATCACGTAATATTGAGTCTAAGGACAAAACCAACTTTGAGGTTCGCGGGAGTACTCAACGTTTATACTGTTCATCAACTTGTTTCTTTTTATTATGTTTTGTCGGGTTTGGCGTAATACGAAGACGTGTATTTAGCGTACAGATGGTTACTTGTCTGACTTCTGCAGATAGAATCAGGCTGTAGTGCATATAAATCGTATCCATGGATTCCACCTGTAGTTTGATACTGAAAGTCATAGTCATTGTCTTCAGACCTGCTACAATTCCTCAGCTCACAGAGAACAACGGTTGCGTTACTAAAATAGTTAATGACATTGTAGCCCTTCTCACACGCATGTAGCATGCATTGTCGTAAATCCCGAGCAGTCGAGACTTTCTTGGAACCACTCGAGTCACAATTTGACTTCTGACAGGATGCTCCCATACGCCTCAGAGTGAACATATCTGATTTACAATTCGGGGTTCCTGGATAAGGAACAATCCACCACTTTGAAAATACACTGTCGCCATAGCAGTTATTATCATAAAATGCCCAGTTTGTCCCCTCATGGTTAGAATTACACTTATAGGCAAGGTATTTTTTATCCCCCTTTTGCTCTACAAAGGTATTTGATCCCGATTCGCAGAAGTCATTTGGTATTTCTTGTTCGGTCGAAATTGCCAGGTTTCTGTCGAAGTAGCCTGGGGATCCACATTTCCCGGGAACGTTATTCGGAAGTTCGACTGGTTGAGTTTTGAGTAAATTCTTACAAGGTTTGAATATATGAGAAAGACTATATACCTGCGAAAGTCCATGTTCATTTTGCCGTAGATTGAATACATAGTCGTCCTTTATGACATCCCACCCACAGTGCTGTGTTTCACATTTCATTAAATTACTTCGTAGGGATATAACGTTGAAAGTATTTGCTTTATCCGAACATGCCTTTTCCATACATTCTGATACGCTCTCGGTCTCAACGGTCGTATATGAAATACTAAAACAAGTCGCCCGAACATTTGCCAATGATCTTTTCATGAAATGTGAGTTATGACACGGTTTTGCAGAACTATGTGGCCGGGCATATGTTCTCCCTGTAGCAGGCGCGGCATATGTCCACTTGTACTCCCAGTCTAATTCATTTGAATCCGATTCACATTTATACGCTGCGCACTCCACCTTTGGATCGTAATACACAACATTTGCGTTGGACTTACATGCAAGGTTGAAGCAATGCTCTCTGGAGTATAACAATTGCTCTGTCAGAATCCCAATAACTATTTGCGCACACATTGGACGAACATGACTGTCGCTGTCATTAACGATGTCATTACGCCTTACTAACAAGTAGTCGCCAGAGGGACAGGTATCCTCTATAAATTAGTAGTCAATTAAATAGTTATGAAAACAATATGACCGATTAGGGGAGTTGGCTCCATAAAAAACACTGATTACAAACACAAGATGAAAACAAATTTTGTAGTATTTTATAATTTACAATAAAATAAGTGGTTTTGTGACTTTCTACTCTGTCAGGTAGTAGATCTACCTTTTTGTAATAAAGCATCAGTCCAATACTCTCAGAATTGATAGCTGTACATATTTTTGGAGAATAAACTACAAAACTCTTCAAAAAAAAACTTACGTAGATGTGGCATCGTTTTGGTAACATTTATTCCAATGCTATCAATCATGTTGGTCTTTGCCAAGCAATCTTTAACGCCGATATTGTTTGTTGCAATAATGTCAGTTGCTTCAATTTTGGTCTGTTCTGTTGCATCCAAACATTCACGTAAGGCTCTGTGTCGCAACTCAGGGAAATCCAAATCTTGGTTGGTTTTTACTATGGGTTGTGCACATTGTGAATCTACAGTAAAAGAAAAATGATACAATAAAGGTACTGGTATGCATGTTATAGTAGTAATTGCGATTTTGAAATAAAATAGAGATGAAAGAAAAAGGCCCAAGACCATGGTTCTAATTTCGTCCATCCAATTTCCCGAATTCTGAATGACGATTGTGGATATACAAAACACAAATCAAGACCCGTATCAAACCTACTGAATGCAAGGAGGTTGATGATAAATTTCACCTCTCTGATTTTTCTTCTATTACCTATCTTGTATTTATGAAAATGGGTTGCCTGCATTATGGATATACACGAACACATCAATAAAAAGAAAGCTATTGACCCTTCACCTGTTATTATAGTCTCTAATAAAAGTTTCAAAACAAGTCGCAAAGTTTAGGTTACCTTTTAGCAATATCCATGTAATGGAAGAAGCAACAGCTCCAGTCAAAATTGCAGTAACAACAGCACAAATTACGGCAACCTTTAATGTGCAGCGTTTTTCTCGATTCCGTTTTTTCTCAGTGCTCTCATATATATTTTTTACTGGCATATGTCCATTTATTTTCCCATCCTTTACGACAAATCTGTCATTTTCTCCTGACATTATTGATGGCTGTTTGTTATATCTTCGACTTGTTGAACTGTGACCTTTCTCGGGAAAGACAGAATCGTTGGTTGCTCCGAGGCACCTTGTTAAAGTTTGAGCTACAACAAGACAATGTACAATAATGAACGAATTGGGCAAGTATTGTGTTCAAATACTTACGATAAATGTGTCTTTATGAAGATTGTTCCCTCGATTCCTTGCAATTTTCTCAAAAGTTTGCCGGACAAATGATTTTTCTAAATAGTCTTCCTACTTACAAAATGAAGCTTGTCATAACAATGTTCAAATAAAATTGATGTACCAAATATTTAGATTATATTAACTACATTCAAATATTTAGACTGATAATCTAACATATCTGTACAATGAACTTACTTGAGATTTTTATAAAAATCGACGCCACCTAGTCCCCTATCCAACAAGTTAGCGCAATCTTATCTCCCAACTAAGTATTTGTCAAAATAAGCATCTTTGAGACATTAACCTCGCAGAATAAAGTCTTCTTCAAATTATGTAACGTGACGTTTCCTACGTTAACAGCACTGCAGTCAAATGTTAATGTTTAATCTCTTTGATAAAATTTGATCTACCCCCTATATAGAGTTCACCAACCTGTAAGACTACATTATACAACTAAATAATTATGTTTTTACTTTTACATTGATTTGTGCCGTCCTTACCAATCATTTCTCTTAATTCACAGCTAGGTTGTTTCAATAAACCTAAAATTCTGAACAACAATCTCACATGATTGGGTAAAGTATTGTGTCAGGAGGGTGTTTATATTATATTTACATTACATACTGTATGTCCTGAATAACGTTTAAATAATTTAGACCAAGATTTATTAATTTATGTTGCCATAAAATTGTTTTGGTAATAAATTGCAAAGTCGAGGAGTTTTATGGACTATTTATGAAAATTTAGTAGATATATAACACCGATTACAGACCAGTAAATCAATTGTATACTTAGTTATTTTGACATCTTATGTAAGATACAGACACTAAGCATAATAGGTTCGAGGTCTTCACAAAACGAAACTTAATTTAGGCAAACATAAGAAGGTTCTGCTATAAAAATTGGCGACAGGAAGTGTCTCAAGATAAAAGTAAACAAACATAAAACAATCAATCACTACAACATGTTTTCGTTTTGTAAAACACTTCAATAACAATGACAAATCTTACAGAAAGGAGATAGTTTGTTTTCATCACGTTCACCATTTTCTTCAAAATGGCCGCTGTTTATTATACTTAGGGTACAATCTCCTGAAAAGACTCCAGTTTGACGACATACAGTAGTTATGTTCGTTTCTCCCGCTCTGATAGATTTTCAAAACATTTCCAGTCAATTTCTTATAGAAATGTGTACCTTATATAGTAGACAACATATTTAATGTCAGCGTTCACACTCCAGTTGATGCTGAATTATATCCATCAATTGTACCCTATTCCATTGTTCTATTCTGTGGCACTGGATTTGTTTACATTACTACGGAATATTACTATTAATTTCGGTAAAAATGGTGACCGTACCTTTCGGGAATGGAGAAAACGTTTCATAACAATTCCGCGCTATATACTACAAACCCAGTGCCACGGAATAGAACACTGGTAGGGTAGAGGCCTGGGGTGATTGTCTCCAACATTTTCTTTGTGCGTCAGATCATTGTCTGGAATGCTCGGAATTTGTTTCCCTTATGACTGAAGCTAAAAGTTTTGAAGCTGCTTATCAGATGAGTATTTTTTCAAATGTTTCTTTTTAGGATTAAGGATTAAAAGTACAGAAGCTGCTCCTTGCCTATAATGAGACGAAACTAGGCCGTGGATTAATCTAATGCTACTTGTGTTTAAGATTAATTGTTGTCTGACCTCGGTGATCTAAAACTGTGAAATAGCTAGCTAGGCAGTAAGCATATCCGAGGCTACACGACTGACATTAATCCCACATACAGATTCAGATTCCAATGTTTTATTGTAATTTCCCAAGTATTATTTTGAATATACAAAACATACTTATTATTAACAGATATAATTTAAAACAGTTTCATATATACAGATATTGTATTTTCTTAACGAATACGTACAAATCATAGTCATAATTAACAGATATGATTTACAACATTTTCAAATATACAAATATTATATTTTCTTAACGAATACATAAAAATCATAGTCATAATTAACAGATATGATTTAAAACATTCTCAAAAAATACAGAACGAATACATACAAATCAAAGTCATGATTAACCAATACAATTTACAACAGTTAAAGTTCATAGTCATAACTAACATAATTACAATTTAAAACCGTTTCATATTTACAGATATTGTATTTTCCAAGTGAATAAATGTAAATGTACAAATCATAGTCATAATTAACAGATATGATTTACAACAATTTCAAATATACAGATATTATTTCAGCTTAACGAATACATACAAATCAAAGTCATAATTAACAGATATAATTTACAACAGTTAAAGTTCATAGTCATAACTAACATATATAATTTACAACCATTTCATAATTCAAATAAATAGATATTGTGTTTTCTAAACTAATATATACAAAGCAAAGTTATAATTACAGATATTGTATTTCCCTAACGAATAAGTGTGAAAGTGCAAATCCTAGTTATAATTAACAGATATAATTGAATACACTTTTATATATAAATATGTGAAACATAAATTGTAGTATTATATGTTCACAAACTTTATTTTATATGTCCGGTTTTGCTGTTAAGATATAACGAACGTAAAAAAAGGTTAATTCGGAATCTCCATACCAATTATTGCTTAAGAAAGTATGCTTTTCTGTGTACAAGTATTTTGATAATATTAACTTAGATGTTTCAACTCACTTTTTTATTAGTTAACAAGAGTGCAATTTACAAACTGCAATACAAATTATGTTTTATCCAGACGGAAGTTGTATGATATTGTGTATTTTGCATACAAAGATTTACTCCCACGGCTATTGTAGATGTTAGAATCAGGCTGTAATGCGTAGACATCGTATCCATGAGTGTCATCCGTGGCTTCGTACTGAAAGTCATAGTCACCACCTTTATATCTATAACAATTCCTCAACTCACAGACATTCGAGGTCGCGTTACTAAAATAGTTAATGACATTGTAGCCCTTCTCACACGCATACAACATGCATTGTCGAAGATCCCGAGCAGTCGAGACTTTCTCAAAACTTCTTGGGTTACAATTGGACTTCTGACAGGATGCTCTCATACGCCTCAGAGTGAACATATCTGATTTACAGTTCGGGGTTCCTGGATATGGTACAATCCACCATTTTGAAAATGTTCTGTCGCTATAGCAATTATCATCATAAAATTTCCAGTAGGTCCCCTCGTGGTTTGGGCGACACTTATAGGCAAGGAATGTATCATCATTGTTTACGTGAATAAATGTATTTGATCCTGACTCGCTGAAAAAGTTTGATATTTCCCGATCTGTTGATTTGTGTCCATTGAAATGTCCTGGAGCCCCACACTGTCCAGGAATTTGCATCGGAAATTCAACTGGTTCAGTTTGAAGTAAATTCTTAATAGGTCTAGTAATATGAGAAAGACTATAAACAACTGAATTCGAATGTACATCTTCATGAGGTCTAACATTAAAAACGTAGTCATTTGTGGTAACATTCCATTGGCAGTGTTGCGTTTCACAACTGTATCCAGATGATCTATGGGACACGAAGTTCAAGGTATTTGCTTTATCCATACACGCCTTTTCCACACATTTCGATAGGCTTTCGACAAATGTATCTGAAATACGGAAACAAGTAGCTCGACCATTATTTGTCCATGTCCTTTGCATGAAGTACGCATTATGACATTGTTGGTTATAAGTTTGTGGCCTGGCATAAGTCTTTCCCGAATAACTAGCAAACTCATCGGTCCACGTGTACGCCCAGTCTAATCCATTAGAATTGGTTCCACACTTATACGCTGCACACTCCATATTTTGATCGTAGTATACAACATTTGCTTTTACTTTACACGCAAGGTAGAAGCAATGTTCAGGGGATTGTAGCATTTGTTTTGTCAGTATTCCCAAAACGATTTTCTTACAGCTTGGACGAACCTGACTGCCCTTCCCATTAATATCGTCATTGCTTCGTACCAGCAAGAAGTCACCCGAGGGACAGGTATTATCTGTAACTAGAATGGCAATTCGATATGAAATACCCTATATGCAAGTTATGAAAATGAATAAGCTTCAATAAAATGACCCAATATAGTTTACGCCGTTAGCACAATGGATATCTGTTCATCGAAGTTATTTAAATAAAGAATATCGCTTTCATTCGTCAATGATTTTGAACATGCACTTCAGATGCATTTCTAGATTATCTGCTATTTACTTATCACAAAAATAGATGAATATAATCATAAGAACACCATAAAACAACTTACACATCAAAGATGTCATTTTGGTAACGTTTCTCCCAATATCATCAAAATGATTGTTCTCTTCAAAACAGGTTTCAATGTTCTCAGCCGTTCGTTTTTCGAGTGCATTTCTCGAAGTCATATTTATGGCATCCAAACATTCACGTACGGTTTTTCGCTGTATATCAGGAGAAGTAGGACAACTTTCACATTGTGAATCTAAATAGAAAAAGAGACAGAGGCTTGTATATTGAAATGAAAATTTGGGATCTAAAAATCATCGAGAAATCACAACATATCGTTTTTTTATTTATAGTTATTGAAACACAGAACATGCAACTTATCTATATTTTCTCTATCGCGCATCAACATGTCAACATATGCTCAGTGAAGAAGGATCTTTTTTGATTGACAAGACATTCTTAATTTTAACCATTGTTGTCAAGGTTTTCCAAAATGGGTGATTTGCATTGCCAGATTGTAGTTTTTGATGTCTTGCATTTCTCATAAATAACATACCTTTACCTTTTTGCAACATAGTGACCAGAACAACGTTTGCCGCTCCTGAAAGCACTGCAAAACCGATGGCGCAAATTACAGCAACCTTTAGTGCACGAAGCTTCTCTCTTGCTTTGACGTTAGGATCAGGAATATCATGTCTTTGACCAATTCTAGCTTCATCGATGGTCGCATATCGCACATTATCTGGCAGAAGATATCCTACGGCATCATGAGCCCCATCATGTTCTTGTCTAGCAGACATATTCATTCATATAAGTATGTTCATGTATTCTTTATGGGAACAAATTAAGAAATGACATTTTAACTTATTCGAGACTTTATCTATTTGTGAAACGAAAGTTGGAATGAAGCCAACAATTATAAACCTGTCGGGATTAGCGATTGGCGATTAGGACAAATAAAAAAATGTGCAATATTATAAAAGTGCATGTACAGATTGGGCCATAAAATGTGACACTCATCATCTTTTAAAACATTTAAGACTGCATAAATGAACCAAATATAGCATACCAAAATGAGTGGAATTAAATGGGCTTGAACAAGATGTATATTTGTCACATATTTTGAATTCTGTTACAATAATTTCATAATTCACTAAAAACAGACTTTGCTCATAAAAATGAAAAAAATTGCTAAAGAAGATGTCCAATACATTCACCTTTATCAGTAGTATCAGCTCTCAAACCATAAAACGCCCATGATTTACATTATTCCTGCCATACTTAGACGTTAGCTCCAATTCATGAGTCCTCATCCTCATATTAGAAACTCCAAATATTGATGAAATGTTGTTTTAAATTAACAAAAGACGGCAAAAGCTACAAATTAAAATGATATGATGTTGCGATTTGAGTAAAATAATACACAGATAGCGAAAAATATTTACATTTTACCTAAATTCATAGAAATTAATTTTTTTGCATAGGTGTTTTTTGCCACGTGTCAATGAAATAATATTGAGAACATTCATCATTTGACTTCATATCTAATACGTACATCCACATATGTGTTCCTCACAATCGGACAATTAATAACTGAAACAATATTTAAGTTACCTGATAAAATACTGTAAAAATGCTAAAAAGTACAGCTGAAAAAATAAAATTCGATTAAATACGTACATGTAGCAAACAAAGTTTACGGTAGTATTCAGTATCATATTCTTATTAATATTTAATCTCGATACTTCATTGACAAACGAAATATGAGCGAGAATGCAACGTTGATTTTATCTAATCAAAGATATACACAGACACGTATTATGTACACTTATTCTGTCTAATATTATTCTGTACGTGCTAGTACATCTGTAGTTAAGATTTTGGCCTTTCAATTTCAGTATATACTAAGCTTGAAATGCTGAACGATACCGCATTTACCGTCATTAATACATACCCTGGAAATATGCTTTCAAATATTGAACCCTGTGGTACTCCATCTTTTAATCTTTTAAGTTGTTTAGATTGCCAGCAACTCATAAACCATCGAAGCATATTAGCATAGCACAACTCACATAACATGGCATGTTTAGTAAACGGGTGACATATTAGTGTTTCTTAGTGTTTCATTCTTTTGTGGGGAACTATTTTGGACTTTTGCAACTCATCTTTATAAATAAACTAGAATTAAACTTTTGTTTGTGAATGTCGATTTGATATGAATATCTCTTTTTAAACCAAAATGAGCATTGCAGTTATGTAAATTTTATGAATATATGTGTTTTAAGTTAAAGAAACTATAAATGAGTTATAAAATGCCGTGGTTGGGTGATAAAAGAAAGTTCTATATAGGCGACAGTTTTGAATTGTTGAGTTTGATGGATCGATAAACCTGCTTGCCAATGTCAGATTCAAAAATATATAAGAAACAACTTAATCTTTGATCCTGCTTTTGACTTTGTCCTGGGTTCGACGAAACCTCACCAAAACAATGTCAGTCGTTATCTAAGGTTACATCATCAACATATCTTCAACAAGTAGTTTCGTTTTGTACGTCTTGAAATATTTGAGTCTACTAATCGAAGGAGTCCTTGTTGACTAATATCTTCAGTTGACATTAACTATAGCGGTAATTTATACACAATAAATTACTTAGTCTAAAATTGAAACGTGACCGTACACATTAAAACATATTTATCATCCAAATAATGAATACTGAAAAGTAACATTCAGTGAAACCTACTTTGAAAAATCATTTGTTCGAGATTGGGATATTCTGTGGGAATGTGGCATATAGTTTATATTGTTTACTTTGACGTTTGGCGATATTGGAGATATTGATATCCAGAAGTCCATATTAGTTGAGGAAAGTTGACGAAAAGAGTTACGCTTTTTGCCTCGGGTCTGATTACACAAAAAGTACACACCGCCTGTGTCATATGAAAGAAATTCTATCAGAAACTATAACAATCACAACAAAGCAGCCTTTGAGCATAAGTAAAATATCCTTTCCATTCTGTTTATCCTTATAATCATTGTTATGTGCTCTGTAGTACTCCTAATCAGTATCTTGGCACTTGTGAACTCATTTTACCTACATGTACGAAATCATGGCCAAATCCTAGCTTTCCAAATTGCAATATTTCCGTTATTTTCATTTGGGTCAGTTGCCATTTCCATCTTCTTTCGGCAGTTAGATACTTTGAAATATGAAGTCTCATGTGTATAAAATGTACAATATGCATAACATCTCAAAATGACGATAATCCAAGATCCTAAGATTTATATTCTATAACAAATAATCCATTTTTGTTCCGAGAGTAGGCAGAGTCCATCTGAACATACACACTTCACGTATAAGTATTAAAATTGTATAAAAAAGTACTGAATCATAGTAAACCTAGCTATTACAATGCGAAACCAGATTTCGAAACCAAACCCGAAACCATTACTCGCTTATGTTGATGGCACGAAAAAGATGAATTAGTAAAATTCAAATGAACACTATTTATCTTAGGTAAAATTATACCATTCAGTGTAACATCCCTTAGGATCGAGTTTTTTGTGAGGTGAAGGACCAGCAAATAGCTATCCGGATATGACAGAATTTAAGGGTGTGAGGCAGGGAAAGCTGATTGACCATATTATACCCTTAAATCAACATTTCCCAATCCCATGAATACGCATTTCAGTACGTATCACCAATGCCTGGGTCACATTTGCTCCGATCCATCGGCCGGCGCCCGGCTGATTGAGTGTTTTGTTCAATATTCTAATCAGTTTTGAACAAAATACTCAATTGGTCGGGCGCCGCAGTGAAAATCGGAGCAAATTTAACCAAGGCATTAGTGCCATTATACTATCCAGACTTACTTCATTTTAAGGATAGGATTTGGTAAGAGATTGTAATCTGTTTCAACAAGTAATTAGAAAAATCACAAATTACTTTCCCCATACTTTATTAAAAGAAACTAACACACGAGACAAACAAATCTATATCTAAATAATTTGACATTCTTTACGGACACTGATACCTCTTAACACATTTGACAATTTGAAGTTTTTACCAGATTTTGGTTTAAACTTTTAGATCTAAAATTGAATGGAGTAGACTTTGTAATTTTTAGTTTCAATCTTTTTGAATGCTGAAAATTGAACATAGAAGCGACTATTGATCTTGCAATGAAAGATCTTTTCAGTGTTTGACATCTTAATTTTTGGTATATGATATTTAGTTTTTGCCTTTCCAAACCATTTTTTCACAATTCGACATGTATCAGGGCTACAAGTAGTTTTAAAATTGAATTGAATTAAACATGCTTTAGATGTGCAGTTGTTGCTTTGAAATACCAAATATGGGAGAAAAATTGTTTTCAAAAACATTACTGAAAATTGAACAAAAACTTTAAATTGAAAAGTGCAATATCAAGCAAAAAATATGAATAATCAAACATAAAATCCCAAAGTTTGAACGAAAATTTGAAAATTTGAATTGAAAAGTGAACATTTAAACAAAAAATTGAATATTAAACACATAATTGAAAAAATCGAATAAATGCCAGAAAATACGTTGTGATTCTCTCAAATGAAATTAAAAATCCAACCAATTAGATTTCATTTACAACGCAAAACTATAAGATATATGGTTAAAATATTCACATGGATGTATATAATATTTATTATTGAAATCAACATCTATCCATGGGCGTAGCGCCTAATACGCAAAATACGCACAGGCGTACCAAATAAATTAAAAATGTGTTAAAATGCATGGCAATTTATTTGCGAATTTATTGATGCTTCCTACCGTATCTGTATTCTTACCATTCAGTCAACATTTAAAGTTGATAAAAACGCTTAGATACCATCAAATAACGTCCTTGAAAAACAATTTCGCGGGGAACATACAAACGGACCCCCTGCGATGCTCGGCCTACGGCCACGCAATCAGGCATCCCCGAGTGTGTATGCTGGTCAAAATATAGCCCTACGCCCATGCTATCTTAAGATCATCAACGAGTATATTGGTCTTGAAATATTGAAATATCATTGTTGAATACTAGGGCGATACACATAGCCTGAGTGGAAAACATTGCAAATTTTTTTTTTTTTTAAGGTTAAGTTTTATTTCTTTGCATAGTTTTATATAACAATATTTAACATACTAGGAAGGCCGAGGTAAAATTACATTGTTGGCCTCCCTATTAAATAAAAGTAGCAAAATAAAGTTGATATAAATGGTTTCAGACATGTATTGTAAATGTATTGTTTATAAGAGTCTCAGTGGCCGCAGTTGGGATGATGATAACAATAGTGATGATGATGGTGATGAAATGTTGAGGCTAATGCTAAATGATAGAATCAACAAAATTTGCCGTAAGGTTCATAATATCAGCATTACATTTATCTGAGAATTTATGATCTCCAAAAAGTATGGTGTGGACTTTATCTACACTGTTTAGACTGGCAAATTCTCTAAAGTTAAAATTTTGCAGCTCTTGTAGTTTTTGGGTAAAGATTGACCTTGTTCCAGTTGATAGAGGGCAGTAAAGTAATAAATGGGACTTGGTTTGCTGGGCATGTCCACAAGGGCAACTTGGGTCTGGATAGTTGTTGAAATTGTGCCTAAAAAAGTCTGATTTAAGTGCTAGGTCTGCTCTTAAACGGTTTAGTTTAATTTCAATAGATCGATTTAAGTTCAATTTTGTTGTCAACACAGACCTAGGGTTTGGGTTATATTTGGTTTTCTTATACCTTGACTTGAAGGCTGATATTGAGGGGCTGCGTTTAACTTCAGGTGAAATCATTTTCCATATTCTTATTGGTGCTATGGCAGGAGAGTTTGTAAATTTCATTGAAGATTTTGCTGGAATATTATATTCGTGCTGGGCACGAAGTACACGCTCTGTACCTGGATTTTTAAGTTCATTGTATATAGATTGTACGTAACTAGGAGTCTTGTTTTTGGATACCTTATACATTAGAGTTGCCATTTTTTCTTCTCTTCTCTGACTTAGTGTCTTCCAGTTAAGTGAATTTAAGACTTTGATTTCAGAGGAGCCCTTAATGGCCCCAGAGACTAACAAGGCAGCTCTGTAGTGTAACCTATCCAAGGTATTTAGGGCATAATGTGGTGAACAATTATAAAAGATTGATCCGAATTCTAATTTTGGCAAAATGAACGATAGGTACATTCTTTCAAGGTGTTTGGATGAAATTTTATTTTTCAATGCTGTAAGTGGATTTAGCATTTTATCAATTTTGACTTTTAACTGGGCTATATGTTCTTTGAAGTCAAGGTGGTTATCTAAGATAACTCCAAGATGTTTATGATAATTTACTCTTTCAATTATTCTGTTGCTCAAGGTCAAAATAGGAAAGTTTCTTACATTTTGAGTAGATTTGGAAAAAATTATCTCTTTGGTTTTCGTGGGCTTAAAGTTAAGCCCCCAAACCCTTGACCAGTCATAGACATTGTCTAGATCATGTTGTAATAATGTATTTGATGTTAAAACATTTTCAAACTTGTGAACGGGGACATATATAGAAGTATCGTCAGCATAAATATAACATTTTGATTGGATGACCTCTGGGAGATCATTTATAAATAGCAGAAATAGGATGGGGCCTAGAATAGAGCCTTGAGGCACACCAGAGTTTATAAAATTTTCTTCAGAGAATTCGGATAAAGATCCATTAAGGCGTGTGCATACTCTTCTATTGTCTAGGTAGGATTTCATTAGTTTCAACAGGTTATCATTGAAGCCATAAGATTTTAGCTTGTGGATAAGTAAATTATGTCTGACTTTATCAAACGCAGACTCCAGGTCCAAAAAGACTCCCCGTACATCCGCTTTGTCTTCAAATGCATTCATTATAAAATTAGTAATACTTAGTAGCTGACTGTCAGTGCTGTGACCAGGCAGAAAACCTGATTATTTTGCAAATACTGGATGATGACCATGAGGTGGATATGTCAGAATACTGACCTATCCGAGGAAAAAAATACTAGGCGAGGCGAAATTTTATTATGCACCTCCCTCTTAAATTTACTGTAGATTAATAAAAGATGGTGTTAAATTGTCAAGAAATACTTTATTTTAAAGAATGGGTCTACTAAACCAGAAGCCAAGCCTAGTCTTTTTTCGAGGATAGGTATTCTGGCATACGGGATGGTTGGAGATCTCGTTGCTTCAATACTGGATAGAACGAGATCTTGCTGCCACGTATGGCAATAGACCATGCAGCTCTTAACCAATCAGATTTGAGTATTTTAATGAGGTGCATAATAATATAAATGACTGTAGTATATGTATATATAAAAATAAAACACGGATCAATGATCATGAGAAACCGATACCACGATCGAAATTGATATCTAAAACTTTTGGACTGTTAACATGTCCAATCTTACAAGTGCTTTGTACCAAACAAGACAATAGCTGTTTACTCAAAAAGTATGACATAACAAACGAAATATATACAATATATAATTAATTCATCAATTATATATTATGTTTATATTATAAATTGATGACATTTACAAATACGTTGTGATTCTCTCAAATCGAAATTGAAATTAGTCTTGTAACATGTCCAATCTTTTAAGTATTTTACACCAAACAAGACAATAGCTGTTTACTCAAAGGTATACATAACAAGCGAAACCAATAGATCAATTTCAGGTTGAAATAGCCTTTTGATTATGATATACATATCATGTACGTAGATACAAAAATGTTGGCAAATATCCAATCTCAATTGCGTCGCTAGAAAGCACAAATGACACCAAGAAAGCACAGTTCAATATTTACAAGTCTCTCAGTCTCTAGCATTGTGACTGGAAAAACAGTAAAAACGACGAACCAGCGGTTTGCATTTTATGCTTAGTCATGACCTGTTACAATGTGAAAGGAATGGGAGTGCTTCCTAGTGCTCACTGCCTTACAGATATAGATGTATGTAGGCATTGTTTTCAACGTACAAGCAGCTCTTTACGAAAATGATCTACCCAATAATGTCCAGCCCTAGAAAATGTTTCTCTATCGACAACCTTCCGTTGTGAATGCCAGAAAAGTTTTGTCAATAAATAATATTGTTTTCAACGTACAAGCAGCATTTTACGGAAATGATCTGCCTATACATTATGTATGTCCAGTCCTAATAGTGTTACGAAAACATTACTTTATCAACAACTCTCCTTTACTTATAACAGATTAAGATTTCATAAATCAATGATATATTCCTATCCACTACTACACAGCTTTGGCAAGACATAAGGAAAGATTTTGCACATGAGAGGCCTTGTGTAGTTCGTGCCATGTTCCTTATGCGTCTCTATTGTTATAATTACATTTTCTGTGTCATCTGGTGGAGCTGTGATTTTGTGAATTGTCATATCATTGTCATTTTTTCCGGGCTCGTTCTTGTACTTTGTATCATGATCTTGTTCTTAAAATATAAAAAAGGAATAATGAAAAATCAGGTACTACTTTGTGATGTCACCCATAAGTGATATTTCCAACCGTTATTATTTTGACTTTGACGATCAGTTGCAGATTAAGGTAATTCAAAGCGTTTGTTTTTGGCTTTTACGACGCGACATACTAGTTGTTATCGGACAAAAACTGGTAAAAAGTTGGTTGATATAAAGTTGCCTAAAGATTTTTAAGAAAACTAGTTGCAACCAAAAATTGTCTTATGTTTTCTATCAAAAGTTTACATACATCAGAATCATTCGAAAAGTTTTGCACAAATATCTCTCACTATGAAAACAATAAACCAATCTTGTACCTGGTAGATATGTGCCCCACTCTATTGCACTGTCAAGGTTTCATGTATAGACGTTTACTCCTTTGGTCCATATCATTTTGTTATAACAAGTACAACTAAATCATAAAAATAAAATCTCTTCTCTAGAGAGGCTTTCGTGCAAAACAAGTTGAACGACCCCTATTATATAAACACAAATTTATTAGTTCCTCATTTTATCATAGGTACAAGGTCGATTGAAAGATGGCGATCTTGTTTTTCTGTTTATTAATTGACCTACTGTGTCAGACTGCCACCTTTTCATCGACAGAGTACCTACACATTTACTTATAAAAATGAAAGCATATATAAAAGCTTGTTAAATATAATTGTGCTCTATAGTTTTAAAAACTGTACTCAGTTTTTGGTCTTTATAACTTACAATTAAGTCAAATGTTTTGAATAGAGACAATTAAGCATATAATCTAAATACCTTTTATAACGAGAACAACTGCAGTGACAAGTGATACAGAAAGAACTACAGCAACAACCACTACTAGAAAGATACACCTTTTCCGACAACGTTTCTCATTCGTAATGGAATTCTTGCCACGGAGCTTACAAACACTGTTTACTATCGCAGGTGCTTGTCCCTCGATATTCTGTCCATTTGCCTCATGTATTTGTTGATACGCACATGCTTTAGTATCACCCATATTTCAACTGCAGTTCCTCGAATGAAAAGCAAAAATACAAATGGTGTTCTTTCTAATATTTCTTTTGATTTTGTATCATAGTGTACGCCTGGTGTTTGTCTTTGATATGTAATCTGAATATCACTGATAGAATAAAACATATAAATTGAGTATAGACTTCAGGCATTCATATAGCAGTTATGGTATCATATGAAACCGAAATTAGATTTTTTTGTACTTGATGGTGTTTGTCTATTTCTTCAAGAACTTTCGAATCTCAGTTTCATATGAGTTTCATATACGTTTGTATATACGTTTTGAATTATTCAACTAAAAGTTTCTATTGAGGATTATACTATACTGTACCTCCATGGTTTATCTACGTGTGAGACTTATGAAAAATGCTAATACAAGGTACGTAGCAGTTTATAATGCTTGATTACAGGGTTTCATAGTGCTTACTTGGGAACAAAATGAAATATTAAAAATGAATTAAGAATTATTTTGACGCAAATAACGATAACCTGTTCAAGATATCGCTGGCGATTCCATTATACAAACTTTCCATTTTATTCTCAACTTTCGATGATATAAAACCTTTTGCATCACTTTTTCCTATAGCTTGTTCGCAACATTTTCTTTTGATTGATCTTTTCAAATATTTATAAAATGCTATTATTGAAATTTGTTTAAGAAGACCCGGATTATGACTGTTTTAAAAAGAACCTCTTATTCTAACCTTCTGTTTTGAAATTCCATTGCATTACGCCATTGGTATTATGGTTATCTTGTCAAACGTTCCTTTAGTAGATATGAATCAATCCCGAAACTTTTCATTTTTTTGGTTTGAAGTCTCTCAAATTAGCAAAAATAATTTTATAATTTCAGAACATGCAATAGAATACGATATTTTGATGATTTGTAACACGTCATCAATCTCAAGCGATAAGGCGAACTATATCCTGAAACGTCTCGAAGAAAGGGATCTCCGAGGATACATGTTCAACACTCATTGCGATTTCAAAGATAGAAACGCCTTTACTGAAATCTCAGCAGCAGTTGACAAATGTAAATACATTCTCATGGTCTTTGACGAGGATTTTAAAAAGGACAGGTTCAATAGTAACGCACTGGAAAAAGTCTTTAAGAAACTTATAAATACACGACAGCTTCATCGGTTCATTCCCTTGGTTATTGGGGTCAAAAGACAAAAAGTAGTCCCAAGTTATATTCCTAATTTCTGCCTAGAATTTAATGTTGATTGGAAAACCGATGCAACGCAATTTTCACGACTTGAGAATACCTTACGATCGTGCCATAATCGAAACCTAGAGTGTCCTTGTTGACGCAACTTACACAATGTTTCCAAGAGTATGAAAATAACAACCTCGCTGAGATAGAAGAAATGGGAAGGCATTCATCTACGAAAGGCAGATTCAGACAGCGATACGATATAAACGTCGCTATGAAGTTCTTTATCATAGAAGGATACTAGGGCGTCTTCACACCAACTGATTTCCTCCTCCAACAGGTCTCATATCAGCTGAGCTAGCGAAAAATACCTTCCCAAGATGGCATGAAAGTATTTGGAATGACGGAAATGTCAGAGGCAGAGGAAATATTTTAGTAATAAATATTTCCTTGCAAAATTGTAAAGGACTTGCCTCTTGGGGTGTGGTGGAGCTCATGTGCAGCAGGAAACTTTAATTTGCAGAACACTTTGATTAACAATTATAAATCTTTCAATAACGCATGTCAAGGAGATTAAAATATTTGTCATATGCCCCGTGTTTCAATTATTACGTGTAACATCATAAATGACAAGCTGATGTTTAAATCGTGATCATGTGCATGTCAAAGGAGATAAGTTATAAGGACCTCTTACATTTGCAGTTGTGACATATCCAAATGTTATGCTAACATAGTTTCTTATCGTGTCATGATTTAAATTCATAAATGGCTGCTTGTAAATTTGGCAAATTTTTATTAAAAATTACACGAACATAATTATAGTCATAACGTTAAGTTTTATTTACAAATATGATACAAAATATCACCATTATAATACAGCTGACACTAATATGAATCACATATTTGCACTTGTTGTCATATAAATGTTTATATATATTGATTCAAAATGATCTGCCACTTGCACAATAAAAAGTTACTGATAGAACCATTCCTTTCTGTTAATATTAACGCTTGAAAGGGCACCAATTATTGAAAATATTCTCTAAAAACAGTCTTTTATTAAACATTTTAATGCGAAAATTATTAATATATTTTTATGTAACTGTTTTTGCTAACTTTTTTTTATCAAAATGTATGTACACATAAACATTTATATAACTGGGAAATAACCTTTTCTATTTTTTATCAAGACTTGCATAATACGATGTTGTGTCTTTTGCGTACAAGAATTTACTTGCATGACCTTTACAAATGCTAGCATAAGGCTGTAATGCATAGACATCGTATCCATATGTCCCACCCGTAGCATCATACTGGAAGTCATAGTCACCATCTTTGGGTCTGTCACAATTTCTCAGCTCACAAACAACCAGTGTTGCGTTACTAAAATAGTTAATGACATTGTAGCCCTTTTCACACGCATGAAGCATGCATTGTCGTAAATCTCGAGCAGTCGAGACTTTCTCAAAACCACTTGGGTCACAATTAGACTTCTGACAGGATGCCCTCATACGCCTCAGAGTGAACATATTCGATCGGCAATTTGGGGTACCAGGGTGAGGGACAATCCACCATTTCGCAAATACCTCATCGCCATAACATTTGTTGTCATAGAATTTCCAATATGTGCCTTCGTGGTTTGAATGGCATTTATAGGCAAGATATTTATCATCGCCATTTATGTGCATAAATGTATTTGATCCCGATTCGCAAAAGTCATTTGGAATTTCTTGGTTTGTCGATTTTAACAGCTCTGCATTGAAATAACCAGGATTTCCACATTGTCCTAATAGAAGCACTGGGAATTTGACTGGTCGAGTCTTTAGTAAATTTCTACAAGATTTGATCGTATGAGAAAGACTATATACCTCAGATATTCCATTTTCATTTTGCCGTAGATTGAATACATAATCGTTCACAGTGACTTCCCATCCGCAATGTTGTGTTTCACATTTCATTTCTCCATTACTTCCATTGACGAAGTTGAAAGTATTCGCTTTATCCATGCATGCCCCTTCCATACATTCTGATGCGCTCTCAACAGTCGAATTTGAAATACTAAAACACGTCGCCCGAACATTCGCCAATGTTCTCTTCATGAAATGTGAGTTATGACAAGGTTTTGCATAACTATGTGGCCGTGCATATGTCCTCCCCGTCCACAAAAAAGTGTACCCAACTTCAAAGCCAGGATACTAAAATTCTGAGCATTATTTTAAAAATACAAATGTAGCAGTAAAAGGCCTATTTTGTTCTCCATCCAATGGTAGCTAGATCATCATGTAACTGTCATGGATGACTGATCATGAGAAATTGTGACTTTTATGAAAGGTGGTAAAATCAGCACTGTGCCAAGTTAGCATTCAAGTAAGAATGACAAAGTGGATGTTTTTTGTGTTCAAAACATTATTGATGTTCAAATTCAAACTTGTCTCGTGGTCTTCACACTTTTACATAATTTTCCATAACTTTTGTTTGTACCTCTCTCTAAAGCAATTGGATCTGAAGAGCCTTTTGATCAGCAATGAAACTTCTACTTGATGATATGCAGCTTTGAAGTCAATTGTACCCCCATGTAAAGTCAATAACCCTTGCTGAAATCCTCATGATCATTTTCTGAGAAAAA